AAGACAATTGCAAGTCATCTGAACCCGTGTCTAAGACCTCCGGACAAGCTAGTGGTGACAACCATCTCGTGAACTCTAGCATTTAGAGGTTACCACCGTGGTATTGAGACGATAGTGCCGAGAGTTTATGATTGTGCACATATTTTGAACCAAAAAGGTACTGACCCCACTAGCCTTGAGAGTGAGTGATTCATTCTTGCTTTGCATGTCATATCATACCCCGGTGAAGACCTTTGCTACCTTTTCATTTGTTCCTCGGACTTGAATTCCATGCATGGTTGGTTGTAGTTGATAAGTGGTCTTGTTGAAACTTGCATTGATCCATGACCAAGTTGAGAACTTTTCATTTGCCCGTTTTTGGTGGCTTCGAATGTCATTTGTGGTGGATGTCCGTATTGCTTGCAACGGTCCATGTATTGATTGCCAATAGCCATTGAGAATTCCCACTTTGTGCCCTTTGAGTTTTCCCCAAAGTATTTGTGTAGGTTGAAATATTACCTTGTGTGAAATGGTTTGCTTGGGGACAAGCAAACGTCTAAGTGTGGGGGAGTGACTCGAGCCTAATTGTACATGTTTTGCCCCCATTTTCCTTAGTCGTTTGTGGTAACTTCGCTCCTAAAATGCATGATCGTGAATAAGAGCCATTGGTTGTGAACCTTGAGGCGTCCAGAGCCAAAATGCAAGTTATTGATGCAAGACATGTTCATGGTCACTAAGACCGTGAACAGGAGTTGTGGACCGTGAACACAAGGAAGCAAACCGGTGCGTTTCGGTGCCCAATTGGAGTTCACGGACGCGTTTCAGTGTTCACGGCCGTGAACTGGAGCCGTGAACACAGCCCATCCTTTGTTTAAAAGCTGAGCTGAAAGGAAGAGAGAGGGAGATCCCATTGGAGTGAGAAAGCCTTCTTCTGATTTCTAGAGAGAGAAACACGAACCAAAGAAGAAGAAGGCTAGGGTTTTTCTTCAAGGTGGATTTTGGGAAGATTTCCTCCAAGGAAAGTTCAACCCAAGGACCAATAAGATTGGAAGCCTCCTCCAAGATGGTTTCTACCCCTTCTCCTTGTGTTTCTCCCATCTCTAGCATGGAGTAGAATTCTTTTCACTTGGGTGTTGTGAAACCCTAAATGTACCATGTAGTTTTCTTTTATGTGAATTGAATGATTGTCATTGGGTATTGTTTAATTCAAATGTTTGAGGTATTATTCATCTTGATTGTGCATGTTTGTGCTTAGCATCCTTAGGTTTGTGCATGTCTATGCTTAGCAACCTAAGGATTGTGCATGTCTATGCTGAGCAATCTAATTAGCCATTTAACCTAGTCTATAGAGGGAAACCCCCCTTCCAAGGGAGTCTCAATTGAGTTGGTATCCCTAGGGCTTTTCAAGTCTTCTAACTAGGTTAATTTAGGACAAACCTCAATATTGGATTAAGCAATTTGGTTAAGCGCGATTAAGCCGACCAACCCTTGGGTTGAGTGAAGAAGTAAGTCAATCATTGATTGCCTAAACCGAGAGGGAGGCACTTTCACTAGTTTTCTTTATTTCATTTAGACTCATGAATAGAGAGATCCCATAGACAGATTAAGCTCTATTATGGGTTGCTAATTTCGATGGAATTCTTAATTCTTTTCATCGTCCCTTTTAATTCCTTTGGTTGGCATCATTGATGCCCGTGTCAAGACTTTTTTGTGAAACGAATGGATTGTACCAACGATGAGAATTGCAGATTGAAATGAATGGATTTCAATGATAGATGTTTGCTTTGATTCTTTAACATGGTTATAATAATATACCATCTTCACTTGGTATTAATTATTTGATTCATTAAAATGGAAGAATATGGATGAAGTTAGCAACAATCCCATGGATGTCTCCACCAATGCACCTTCTCAAGGAAATCTTCCGTTGGAAGTTGATGAAAATGAAGGAGGTACATTCGGAAATTTAGCTGTATGGGCGCATTGTAATAGAATGAATTGGTCGGATAAGGAAACTAGAAAAGCTGCTTGCAAATATTGTTCATCAACGTTAAAATATCCATCTACTTTTGGAACAAGTGGTTTGAAAATGCATTTGCAAATATGCAAAAACTATCCTTATATTATTTATAATCTGAAGAAGTCTAGAACTCTTGGTGCTCAAGGTACCAGTACTACAACTAAGGGTACTAGTAGTGCATATCCTACTTTACACCTCACACATATGATCCAGTTGTCTCAAGGATGAAACTTGCTAGAATGATCATTATTGACGAGTCACCTTTTAGGCAAGTTGAGCGTGAAGGCTGCCTTGACTTTGTCCATTCGCTAAGACCTGAGTTTCACATCCCTTCTAGGATCACCATAGCCAAAGACTGTTTTAAGTTGAGAAGGAGAAGTTGAAAAATTACTTCAAGCAGTCATAGATTTGAGTTTGCCTCACAACTGGCATCTGGGCAAGTAGATATCATTTGGACTACATGAGTTTTACTGCTCATTTCATTGATAATGAATGGAAAATGCAGAAAAGAATTCGCAACTTCTCTCCTATTCCTAATCACACGGGTCTCACGTTGGAAAAACGGTTGAAAACACTTGCTTAATTTGGGAATTGACAGGGTTCTAACCGTGACAGTGGATAATGCAAGTTCGAATGATGTGGGCAATTCCAGTATCCACTATTGCATCTGAGTCTGCTTTCAGTAGCGAGGGACGCGTTTTAGATGCATTTCGGAGTTCTTTGACTCCCTTGGTTGTTAAAGGTTTAAGTTGTGGTCAAAATTGACTTCGATCGAGTACTCTTCCCATTGACATGGAAGAGAATTTTGAAGAAATCAAAGAACTTGAACAAGGTATGAAAAGTAATTTGTTTCTAACATTAACTATTTCATTTAGATAATTATTAATTTTTTTCCTATGTGTTGTTAATTTTGCAAATTTGAAAGAGTTTTGCTTCGATAATAGTAATATCGTGAGCGATTTAGTTGCTGATGATTGAAGAATGATGTATTGTGTAATCGTGATATGATGTAATTGATGATTATCTAACAATGATGTATTGTGTAATCATGAGGATGATGTATTTGATTATTATCGAACAATGATGGATTTGTAGTTGTAATTTGGATTTTTAGATGGATTGTTGCCATTGGAATCATCATTTGCAACCATTAATGTCTCGCCCACCATACATCTTTCTTGTCTTTTCATCCTTTCATCAACCACATATTTTAGGGGAGTTTGGTAAATAAATAAATATCTGTAATTAATTGGGTAAGTAAATAATTTTATGGAATTATTTTGGCAATTGATTAATTTTCTGGAATTAATTTGATAAACAAATAATTTTTTGGAAATGAATACACAAATAAATAATTTTTTGAAATTAATTTCATAATTGATTTATTTTCAAATTATGTTGGTCATGGATTAACTTTTTTGAAAATGATTAATTTTCTGGAATTAATTTGATAAATAAATAATTTTCTGGAATGAAATTCGTAAATAATTTATTTTTAAAATTAATTTAGTAATTAATTAATTTTTTGGAATTATGCTGGTGATTAATTAAATTTTTGGAATTATTTTGGTGATTAATTAATTTTATGGAATTAATTTGTTACATAAATAATTTTCTGGAATGAAATTCGTAAATAAATTATTTTTTGAAATTAATTTATTAATTGATTAATTTTTTGGAATTATGTTGGTGATTGATTAAATTTTCTGAATTACTTTGGTCATTGATTAATTTTCTGGAATTAATTTGACAAATAAATAATTTTCTGGAATGAAATTAATAAATAAATTTTTTTTATGAAATTAATTTGGTAATTCATTAATTTTGTGACATAATTTCGTAAATAAATTATTTGACGTAATTAATTTTACGTTATTTTATAATTTTATAATTTAGTAATTAATTTTGTGGTTAGAGAGGGTCAACCCGCTGACCTTGCTCGTCCCGACCCTGAAGGGTCATACGGTGACAAGGAGAGAATAGGGACGGGACAAGTTGGTTATACAAGCTGACCCTTTAGAGACGAGATCAAGGACGAAACATGCAAATTTTCAGCCATGATGCCTAATTTACCAAATGCGAAACCCTTGGCGGCTGCCCGAGCATCCCAATTTTTATTGTTCACTCTCTTTATACATAGTGTTTGTTTAAAAAGTGATGTACATCGGGCTGGCCAAGTAAAATATCTCTTCCATTCATCTCTGTCTTTCTTCATCGTTTAATTTGCAGCCCTTCAAGTATGTAACTTTCTTCCTCCTTCCCAATCCATTCAACAAGGACCAAACAAATTGTGAAATTTTCATGTAGATACCCTTCTTCCAAAACTCCATATCTCCTTTAGCCAAAGAAGAACTCTGATTTTGATAGTCATTCAATACCCTTCTTCCAAAATTCCATATCTCCATTAGCCAAAAAAGTTAATCCATCACCAACAGAATTTGAAAATAAATCAATTACGAAATTAATTTCAAAAAATTATTTATTTGTGTATTTAATTCCAAAAAATTATTTGTTTATCAAATTAATTCCAGAAAATTAATCAATTGTCAAAATAATTCCAGAAAATTATTTACTTACCCAATTAATTACTGAAATTTATTTATTTACCAAACTCCCATAAAATATGTGCTTGAAGAAAGGATGAAATGACAAGAAAGATGCATGGTGCACGAGACATCAATTGTTGCAAATGATGATTCCAATGGCAACAATCCATCTAAAAATCCAAATTACAACTACAAATCCATCATTGTTCGATAATAATCAAATACATCATCCTCATGATCACACAATACATCATTGTTAGATAATCATCAATTACATCATATCGCGATTACACAATACATCATTCTTCAATCATCAGCAACTAAATCGCTCATGATAGTACTATCATCCAAGCAAAACTCTTTCAAATTTGCAAAATTAACAACACATAGGAAAAAATTAATAATTATCTAAATAAAATAGTTAATGTTAAAAACAAATTACTTTTCATAACTTGTTCAAGTTCTTTGATTTCTTCAAAATTCTCTTCCATGTCAATGGGAAGAGTACTCAATCGAAGTTAATTTTGACCACAAATTAAACCTTCAACAACCAAGAGAGTCAAAGAACTCCGAAATGCATCTAAAACGCGTCCCTCGCTACTGAAAGCAGACTCAGATGCAACAGTGGATACTGGAATTGCCCACATCATTCGAACTTGCATTATCCACTGTCACGGTTAGAACCCTGTCAATTCCCAAATTAAGCAAGTGTTTTCAACCGTTTTTCCAACGTGAGACCCGTGTGATTAGGAATAGGAGAGAAGTTGAGAATTCTTTTCTGCATTTTCCATTCATTATCAATGAAATGAGCAGTAAAACTCATGTAGTCCAAATGATATCTACTTGCCTAGATGTCAGTTGTGAGGCAAACTCAAATCTATGACTGCTTGAAGTAATTTTTCAACTTCTCCTTCTCAGCCAAAAACAACTTAAAACTGTCTTTGGCTATGGTGATCCTAGAAGGGATGTGAAACTCAGGTCTTAGCGAATTGACAAAGTCAAGGAAGCCTTCACGCTCAACTTGCCTAAAAGATGACTCGTCAATAATGATCATTCTAGCAAGTTTCATCCTTGAGATGACTAGATCATATGTGTGAGGTGTAAAGTAGGATATGCACTACTAGTACCCTGAGTTGTAGTACTGGTACTTTAAGCGCCAAGAGTTCTAGACTTCTTCAGATTATAAATACTATAAGGATAGTTTTTGCATCTTTGCAAATGCATTTTCAAATCACTTGTTCCAAAAGTAGATGGATATTTTAACGTTGATGAACAATATTTGCAAGCAGCTTTTCTAGTTTCCTTATCCGACCAATTCATTCTATTATGATGCGCCCATACAGCTGAAGTTCCGAATGTACCTTCTTCATTTTCATCAACTTCCAACAAAAGCTTCCTTATCCGACCAATTCATTCTATTATGATGCGCCCATACAGCTGAAGTTCCGAATGTACCTTCTTCATTTTCATCAACTTCCAACGGAAGATTTCCTTGAGAAGGTGCATTGGTGGAGACATCCATGGGATTGTTGCTAACTTCATCCATATCCTCGCCATTTTAATGAATCAAATAATTAATACCAAGTGAAGATGGTATATTATTATAACCATGTTAAAGAATCAAAGCAAACAACAATCTATCATTGAAATCCATTCATTTCAATCTGCAATTCTCTTCGCTGGTACAATCCATTCGTTTCACAACAAAGTCTTGACACGGGCATCAATGATGCCAACCAAAGGAATTAAAAGGGACGATGAAAAGAATTAAGAATTCCATCGAAATTAGCAACCCATAATAGAGCTTAATCTGTCTATGGGATCTCTCTATTCATGAGTCTAAATGAAATAAAGAAAACTAGTGAAAGTGCCTTTGACTAAAACAGAATCATTCTCAGTTTCTATAGCTAAACCAGGTAATCACAAAACAATGGCTATATAGAGAAGATGGACTCTAGTTGGATCAAACTAGAAGTTCAAAGTTGAAGAAATGAACATTGAAGTGGATATACCTCAGCTATAGGCTCTTTCAAAGCCTTCCTGGTAAGCCTGAACCGGATCCCCAACTTCTCAAGCTGCCTTGACAAAACCCTAACGATGGTAGCAGTACTTCTCAAATCCTCTTCTAACTTCTCAATTCTCTCGAGCAAATTCACACTATCTCGACCTTCCCGCACTGATTTCAGAAGAGGAAACATGCAATGTGTTAATTGTATAGGTTTGAATGTCACCAAAAGCTTAAACAAATCGAAACACAATCTACAACATATAAAAACAACCAAATCGAAACACAATCTACAACATATAAACACAACCAAATTGAAGCTTAACCGATCTTAGTCTGCACTCTGCCAAATTTCCTCTCTTCTCATCTCTGCAACTGCAACCCACTCCCCCAGATCACCTTTATTGCCATCTTTCCTTCCTTGATTCCTTCTCCCTAGTTTTTACGTTGTTTACTCTTACATCCTTACAAAACTTCAATTCCAACCTCTCTTGGACTGTCATAATCATCCTTGCATCACCATTCCCATCTGATCGTTCGTACGCCTATTGTAATTTAACATTGTAACTAGCATTACAAGCATGGTTTTACACTAACCCACTAAGCGAAAGATCGAACAGCCTCAGAATGAGGCTAATTACAAGATTTTGGCAGTGGTCGAAAGACTTACTGAGGAAGTCGAGGACGAGGCGGCCGTCGGAGAGGCGGCCGTCGGAAGCGTGGAAGAAAGAGCGGCAGTTGGGGAGGTCGATGAGGAAATCGAGGCCGGCGACGAGCTCGTTGGAAAGGCAATGGATCGAGATTTTAGGGTCCCTTTCAGTCTATGAGAAAGAACGGAGAAGAGGTATCGTGAAAGCACAAGGGCTGGGCTGGTCGGCTTGACGCCGGAGACAGTCGGCTGGACGCTGGAGGCAGTCGGCCTCGCCAAGAATCGGTGGAGATTTTAGGGAAAGGGTTTTTACAGTCGATGACGATGAGAAACGAGGGCGATATTTCACGGGTCACGGGTCACGGGTCACAGGGTCTAAAATTTGATGTGGGTTCCGGGTCATCAGGGTCAACCGGTCAAGTGAGTTTTTTAGGGTCAGATATTATTTTGACTAGCTTGGACCCGGCCGGTTGGCCGGAATATTGTAAGTTTTAAGATATCAGAAGTTTCCTCAAATTGAAAGAAAGAAACCTGCCGCATGCTCGTGTACTGTACACGCAGACACCTTTTACTGTACAACGTGACTAAGATTTACTGTTTCAAACTGGCGTGGGCTGGCGTGTGGGCTGTTGTTGGGTGAGGCCTCATTGGGATCTGACGGAGTTTGGGGGCTCGGTCGGGGTGGGACTGGTCGTTGCCTTCTGGTTGCCCTTCTTTGGGGTCGTTTGGTGGCCCCGGCGCCCGTTGGTCATCAGAGATCGATATTTGACTTTGGCCCGAGCGGGCAGGAACGAGGGTTTTCGTTAGTGGGATGGAACTTGGTCGTTGGGCTGTTTTGGTCTGCTGGATCGGTTGTGATCCACGAACGCGTTGGTCATCAGAGCCCTCTCGGTGACTGGAGCCTGCACAGTTGCTTGATTGGATGGATTTCAGGCGCGCCGCCGGTCTATTTTCCTTGGCAGCTGTGTCAGGGTCTTTGCAAGCGATCGACGGTTTTGTGGGTGGGAGACTCAGAGGTAGTGGGCCATGGGGGGACTGAAAGGGTTGATTGAAAGGAGCTGTGCTGCTCAGTGGCTCTGCAAGTGGCTTAGGGCAAGGTCAGGGTCTTTGAGGTGTGGAGCGGTTGAGAGGTGGGAGTCGTGCCGGTTTCAGAGGCTGAGAGAGAAGGGAGGTATGGGAGAAGAGAGGTATGTCTTGATGATGTAGACTGGGCATACTTTCTGAATCTGGAAAGGTAATTGAGGGGACTGATGAGAGAAGCTAAGTCAGGCGTCAGGGAGCAGGAGGGAGCCTCTTCCGATCAATTAGTCGAGAGGGGATAGGGATCTAGCTGTATCCAATTGCCCTTTCGATTTCCGAGAAGCATCAGAGAGGGGTCTTAGTTGTAGACTATCATCGATTGTGTGGTTGGGAGAAGAGCTTAGCTTTTTAGGAGGAGGTGAGAGACTAGATAAAATAGCCAGCTCTGTCTCTATGCATTCTTCCCATTTTTATTTTCGAATTCTCTCTCTATCTCTGAAATCTCGATGAATATTGTTTCTCTCTCAAACTTCCTTCTAATCTCCCACTCTCTAGGCAGATCGACTATTGTCTTTTGTTGAGTTTTGGATTGATTTGAGGATTCAGGGCGCCATCTGTGGTAGAGAATTCTTCCAGTTTAGCTACTCGCTAGGGTGAATCGAATCCAGATGATCAGAGCGGAGAAAAGGTCAATTCGGAAAGTGTTCCTTGCAATATTCCATCGGTAAGCGATCGTGTATTTCTTCGTTCGTATTTGCTTTCTGGGTCTGGTCGTGCCTCATCAAACTAAGTTTCATGGTTTCTTAGTTGAGAACATTGGAATCTGATGGAGTATGGTGTCTTGGTTGGGATGGGACTGGTGGTTGCATGTGTGGTTTCTTTGGCTTGGTTTCTTGGTTCTTCTCATCGGCGTTGACCCTCACTGATCTGGTTGTACCCGATCCCTGTTTTGATGCATTTTCAGGTGGGATTGTGAGAAGCGACGACTGCTAATGTGCACCTCTTTGAGCACCTCTTGGAGTGTTGATCAAAGTTGTACGTACCAACGGCAGGGGAGCTGATATCCACGACACAGGGGAACCAGATTTGCGAACCATGACGTTATAAGGTGAGCCATTGATGGTTTTTCTTTGTTTCTTGTCTGTGGTGTTTAGTTTTTCCGGGCTTATTTTGTAATTCCTTTTTCTCTCTTTTATGAAGAAATACAGGCGACGAGTTCCTGGTAGAGATTTCTTTGGCCGGCGGTAGTTGTTGGATCCATGTTAGAGACCAAAAATAGGACATGATTGTTTGGATTTCAAGGGCAATCTATCGAGAAACTGAAGTGATGCATAGGAGCCTTCAAAAATGGATTTCGGGAGAGGTTTCTAGCTTCCTCCCATCCATCACTATTCAGTGTCTCCACACCTTACTCTGGTTATCTTTTGTTTCCCCTACTCAATGGTGTTTATGAAGCATTCTCCTCATTGTCCGTGCGTTTAGTTGATCTGTCACGTAGCCTTTGCCGGAGAGTCTCAATGACGCTGTGCTTGCTGGAAAGTATCTTGCCGCTCTGTTTCTTTGCATTATATGTTTGATTTTGTTGTTTGTTCTAGGAATCGAGTGGTAAGCTCTTGGTACTTCTGTTTCTTTTTTCACACACTCTCTCTGTATGTTGAATTGTTCTCTCTCCACCGCTAAACTGTTTAGGTTGTTCTGTCTTTCGGATCTCTTTTCTTTCATAACAATCTCGACGTGAGTGCTTATCTCAATGGATTTGTTTGCCTTTTCCTCTTCTGGATCGGGTTCAGATTCCTCTCAGATTTTGTGCGGTGGAACTTACGGCGTGGAGAAGATGGATATTTCATTGGTGATGGTTTAGGTAACGGAGGTCCTAGGGTGACCAGGACACTAATGGGTTCAATTTCTTTAAGTTTCCTTTTATTCCTATTATTATTTCCTTTACTGATCGAGCTTGGTAATTTCATGAATGAATATGGCCGCCTATAGCTAAGATCAGTAGCAAATGGTACGTAGTATATCCAATCTTTCCTTTCCAAGCCTTACCAGTTTATTCTTGGGCAGAGCCCTTAGTTTATTTTTTGTTATTTACAGATTTTGTTCTGAGATGATTTATGATTACTCAGCTCATATCCTTTTTGTCATCTAAAGTTCATTTCAAGCAGTTGAAAGTACTGTTTAGTTACCTCATGGATTCATGGTGTCTTGATTGCCACTCTACTTCATTTGAATTTCTGTAATTGGGTTCTTGGGTTCTATGTAGTACTTGCTTAGCTATACATGGATCTCATACTTGAAGAGACTTCTCTTTTTCAGATGATGATTTTGTAGTCTATTGTCGATGTCACTTTCTTTTCTCTAATTCTGAAAAATTGTTCTCTTTTGGTGGAATATATTGATTTTCCCATTCTCATAGGTTTACAATTTTCCGATCCAGTAGTCTATGTAGGAAAAGCATGCACGCTGTTTGTTCGAGGTGCAAACCCTGTTGCTTCCAGTGTGCTGTGTACTGAATTATGTTTATGTTTTCTATGGTTTAGGTTGCTTTCTCTTCTACCGACGATTGAAGTTGAGAGCTGGGAGTTACCATGAAAAATCAGTGAATACCTACCGTGCATAGTTCTGTTGTGCTCCCGTTGAAAGGAAATGCAACTCTGCCTCTGGTGGCAAAATCTTCTAACAACCAAGAGTTATCGTAATGGACTGTCCCTCAAACTCTTCACATCTTCCTTCTCATGGTTAATTGATGATTCTGTAGTTTGCTCATATAATCTCTTTGCGTTCTTTAATAGGGCTGGTGGTGGTTGTGTATCATGTAAAGATACTTGAGGAATTAGGTTGTGATCCCTGTGTTTGGCCAAAAGTGGGTTGTAGGTTTGTTCCATACTTGGTTGATAACTATTTAGAGAAAGCTTTTCATTCCTTCTTTCAATGGTAGAGAAAGTTCTTCGTTGTTTTGAATGGAAAGTTTACACGTTCTCTGCCAAGTTTTACGGTTTTATTTAATAACTGATGTACCCAATTGTAATCAGTAAATGGATGCTCGAGTATGAACTTTGAACCTGTTGGTTTAAGTCGTGTAAATATGTGATGTTTGTTTGTGCTGGACACATTTTTTTGTTGCTTTTCAGGAATTGTTGGTCTTTATAATGGTTTTCATATAGTTATGAGTATGCTCATGAATTACGAGTTATGACCATGATTTGGTCGACGTTTGTGTAAACATATGCTATACAAATGTATAATGAACGCCTTTATTTGGACTATGTAACCATGGGCTTAATACGCAACCAGTTTATGTATAACACACCTGTACCTAATTAAATGCCTTTTGTTTTGTTCAACTCCCGGCGCAGAGCGCGGGAAATGAAAACTAATATAATCAATAGTATCCGCAAGTATTATGATATCTTTCCAACCATGTATAGTAGAAGACTTGATAATGTCCAAGTGAATAGAAGATGAGTTCTACAACTGTAATTTGACTTTTTTTTATCTTAACTTAAATACTAACTAAAGTGTAATTCTTGATTAACAACTCTCAAAATCATGCAAGTGGAGCCCTAAACGCATCATTGACAACTTATATTCGGTTAGGCACTAATCAAACATTAGGATGTCTCAATTTGAAACTATTTTACAACTGCTTGATGGGCTAATATATTCAAGTTCGTAACAAAAACCAATTTGAAAATCAGAGAATGAAAATAATAATTGCAAGTAAAATCAAGTTCGTACCCAAAACCAATTTGGAAAAGCAAGATTGACAGTGAACATCTTGTGTTTATAATTAATTAAGGGGAATGTTACCCACACAATAAGAAAAACAAACTGAACTTTTCTTAATATGTATCATCCGGACTCTTTAATCAAATGGAGGTATGAGTAAGTTATGCATGCACGCTATCCATGAACATATACATAATAAAAGTTAGAAGGTAGGTACTGTTGCATAAGAATTATATTAATGTGACAGGTTGGTTGTTTTTGTTTTTTTCACAGGCATTCTTTGATTGGTCTATTGCTCATTATTATTTCTTATTTTTGGTTTTGGAAATCCATAATGAGAGTTTTAGAGTTTTATTAAAATGAGATGCTGTAATTTTTTCCTTTTACTTGCACAACAAAAAATGGGAAAATGGCGTTGGTTACTCCACCCGAATATGGATTTATGTTAACCAAAATAAAAAAATTATAAAATCATATCGAAGGTCATACCGGAAAAGTTAGCATTAGTGTATTTTGTGCTAAAATCATAATTCAAAAGTGGTTAAATCAGGCTAGACATGTTGCTCCAAACCGAGCCTCGATTAATGTTAAAAAAAAACCAAATTTTTTAAAACAATAACCTAAAGTTCGTACTAAAAAAGTAAGCATTAGAGTTTTTTGTAATAAAATCGTAGTACATTCGTGGTTAAAATCAAACTTGACACGTTGTTCCAACCCGAGTCTCGATTTATGTTCTAAAAAAAACCAAAAATTGTAGAATCATGCCGAAGGTCGTACCGATAAAGTTAATATTAGGGTATTTTCTGCTAAAATCGTAGTTCAATCATGGTTAAATTAGATCGAACCCGAGCCTCAATGCATGTTTAGAAACAAAATAGATGTAAAATCATACCGAAGGTCATTACCGGTAAATCTATTATTATGGTAGTTTGAACTAAAATCGCAGTTGAATCAGGCTTGACATGTTGCTGAACCTCAAGCTTCGATGCATGTTAAGAAAAAACCAAAAATTGTAGAACCACAATGAAAGTCGTACCGGAAAAGTTATTATTAGGTCATTTTATGCTAAAATCATAGTTCAGCGTTGGGAAAAAAAGTTATTATAAAAGTTATTTAAAACCAACGAAAAAAATCCACAAATAAAAATGCTTAAAAAAGAATGTTGTAAATTGCAACCGAGAATAAAAGATGAACTGAAATTCTCACAAAAAAATGAACTGAAATAAAAGCTTAAAAAACAGTTACATAGTTAACTGTAAAAAGAGTCCGCAAATCCGGACATTTTTTTCCTAGTACGGACATTAGGCGGGCCGAACTTTGGCAGGATTAGTAAGCCCAAAATTCTAGCTTAATGCCCGCGAAGACAATTTTAAAGACCCACTATATTTCCTAATATACCCCTACCGAAAATTAAGGAGAGAGCAGGAAAATTTGAACACTGAAAAACTTATAAACTCCACTATTATATATTCTGTAGACTTAGGTAACCAGTTCGCAGAGCGGGAGCGGGAGCGAGAGCGAGAACGAGAACGGGAGCGCAAGAGCGTCTATTTTAGAAGAATTCAATATTCAGAGCGTGAGTAGAGCGTTATTACTATATTATTTTAATAATTTTAATAGTAATAATTGTTTTTGGGTTAATATTATCGGTAATATCATTAGAGCTAACAAAAGAAAATTTTCATAATATGAAAAATAATCAGATAGTATTTTTCTATAAGAAAAAGATTAGTATTCTTTTTACGAGGAAAGTGGGTCTTACAGTCTTACTATTTTATTCATTTGTCTGGTATCTTCAAATAATAAAAATGCATTCACATTTAATCTACTTTTTTTTTCTTATCCGTTAACTTTCCTCTCTTATCTTTCGGTCACATCTACCACAGCCACAAGTTCAACAATCACTCGACTTCTTCTTCCTCTTTCTTCCCCAACACTAGGGGTGTACATGGGTTGGGTGGTCCGGGTTTAGGCATTTTAATCACCCAACCCATGCACTACGGTTTGGGAAATATTAAACCCAAACCCACCCAAAAAAAATTAAACCCTACAGTTTGTTTTTAATTAGGTTGGGTCGGGTTGGCGATATTTTTAAGTAAAAACCCAACCCAACACAAAATATGTAATTATTATACATCATAAAAATATTTTATAACAAATTAAAAATTCAAACGAATAAACCGAGGCAAAAAGTATCAAAATTCACAAATATTGTTTGAATTTTAATAAAACTTAATTTACTTCAACTTTATGTCTAACTTTTAAAATTGTACACAAGAAAAAAATATGTGAATCATAGCTATATTAAATATATGTCTAAACTTTAAGTCGAAGAATGCATTAGATTAGTGAGACTTTAAGAGAAAAACATGGCGAAATATCTTCTCATAAGTATGATTATATACGACATAAATATATTTATGGATACGAACTCATACCCATAATTGGAACACGGGTTGGGTCGGGTTCTACGGGTTGTGTAATCCAAAATCCAAACCCAACCCAAAAAAGGCGGGTTGTACAAAAGAAAACCCTCACCCAACCCAAAACCTTCAATTTAGCGATAACTATGGGTGAGTTGGGTCGGGTTGGACGGGTGGGTCGGTTTGCGGGTGTGTTTGTTCACCCCTACCCAACACAGTAGTTCTCCTATTTTTATCCAAAATTTTCATTCCCAGATTCACTCTACATGCAAGCAGTAAATGCTTGTTTATTTATCCTAATCTTAATTTAGATCAAGTAATCGACCGACTGGGCTCCGATTATGAGATTTTTATGGGAAAAAGATCAACGAAGGGTTTGGTAGGTCGTGAATTCATGGTGTCGGTGAGGAATATGAATGAACAGAGGCCTCTTTCTGTTTGTTGTGTATTCAAATTCTTGTCGTTTCCAGTTTCAACTATGATTCTCCAAATCTTTGCTAATATGTTTTCCCTCTGAATTGGTTTCCATCATTCATTATCGTGTCTTCGGCCGCTCTCATCCTCTAGCCATTGTTTTGATGTCTTTCCATATACTAAGTTTCTGGGTTTTCTTAGGTTTCACCACCAAATCAAAGCTTCGGTTCCAATTTGTAGTTACTGATTTAATATTTTAGAAACTGGAAATTAGTTCGTGAGACAATTCACGCTCTTCTCAAAATAATCTGCGCTCCCACGAAATATAATTCGTGAATTATCGAAGATCTTCTGAAAATTCGCGGTTCGGCGCTTTAAAGCGGGAGCGTGGGCCTTGGGCCCACGAATTGTATGACCTAAATTTTGACCCGTCCCGTACAGGGACAAGGAGAAGACCCGTACCTTGCTTGTCCCTAGATGCAACTTAACCCGGCCCGACCCTTAGGGTCGGGACGGAACGGGTCGGGTTTTGAGGGTCAACATTCACCCCTAAATTAAGCACAGCCGCAGAGAATTAAAAAAGGGTCGGGTTGTGAACAGTAATCTTCTGCTTTTTTTCGTATGCAACAGTGGAAATACGCTACTTAACATTTCTAATAATTACCAAGATGATGAATCCATTAGGGTGCAGATTGATAGAAAATTCACGTTGAAAGAACTCTACCAAATTTGCATTGAACGGACTTGCATTGGACACAAATGATTAGGCTGTAAAATAACTTATCGGTATCTAAATATGAGTGGAGGCAATGTGGTCTATGAAGAGTCGATCTTGTCTGACAATGATGGGGTTAATACAATGTTGCACTTTCTACCTGGAACCAAACTCATACTTGCACAGGTGCATGTTGATATTGAGAAGGTAGGTGGGTGGAGGGCGTTATGACTATCACGATGGTTTATACTCCTTCTCGCCACTATGGTAGTGTTTCAAGAGGCAAGTACACTTATGGTGATGGTGCTTTAAGAGCTACGATGGAGGTGGTTATGCATGCAAGTATGGAGGAGGTGGTATTCAAGAGACTTTGTGGACATGGGATACAATGGGAAGACTATGTTGATATTTCTACTGTTGAGGATGAACTATTTGTTGAGTTTATGGTGTTTGATGGCCAATTTGGAGCCCATAATAGACTAATTTTGAGTATATCGTTCAAGCATCTTCCCGACCTTTACATGGTCGATCCATATCATACATGGGAGTATTAGGAGATTACAATGGTGGTGAAGGTCATAATGATCCCTTTG